CCATCCACCGCGCACTCAAGTCAAACCAAACTGCACCAAGCAGAATATTGATTGGTATAACTGGTAAACAGAGAAGCTCAAGGAACTTTTATTGAGAATTGCCAGTAACAGGGTAGAACTGAGGGAGAGGGAGCGAGCCAGCTGGAGGGAGAATAAAACTTTCCCATGCTGATGCTTTCCATCAGGGAAGGAGTTGTCATTAGGTTGTAGTGTAACTGCACAGAAGGGTCAACCCTGCACAAGAGGACGTTTTCACACCTGGCTTTTAAAAATAGAAAAATAGTCGGCTCAGGGAGTGTCAGCATGGATTTCTTAGCAAGTGTTTGTTGGGGGCTTTTGGGGCAGCGGGACACTGCTTTCCAGAAGCTCCTGGTCTGGCAGGGGAAATGCTGTTGTAAATTTTAGTTTTTAATGTGGTGAATATTAATAGATGGGGAAGGGTGGGAGGTGAGAGGAGTCCTGGCGACCCCGGGTCGGGGGGATCCTGAAGATAAAGAATCCGTTGAGTCAGGCAGCAGACTTTTGGGTCCAGTGATGTGTGCACCGTGGTGCTGGGGGGGGAACACAGAAGAAGGTAGCAGACCCCACGGACATTCTGCCTTTGTATCCGCCTCCCAGGGTGCCCCTGGCTGCGAGGAGCCTAGCTTAGACAGCGGACGCAGAGGGCCTGTGTCCCCACAAGGGGTCACCCCCACAGGCACCGCTCAGGCTGCCTTTTTGTGTTTTTGTGTTTTGGGCCAGTGAGATGCTTCCCAGCCTCACCAGAGAATATACTTTTGAAGGGAGCGGTGGGTGAGTCAGGAGAGGTGGGTCACCTCCCTGGAGGGGGATTGATCTCTTGTGGCAGTGGCTGCAGTAGCTTCATAGTGCTGCGCTTTGACCCCTTGTGCCACCAGGGAGGACTCAGGAATCAGGGTCTTTAACAAAATCCTTGGTAGATCATTGACATCTGATAGAAGCCCGATCACCAGAAAAACTTATCTGAGATGACACACCCTTCTTTGTTACGTCCATGCTGGGCATGTCCTTATCAAGGATGTGTAAACCTCATGGTGATCAGACTGAAGGGCTGACCTTGGCATTAGGTTTTTTTCAATCAGAAGGTTGACCTATTTTATGGGAAAATGAAGGAAAGGCAGGCTCAAGCTGACAGGGACAATTTTTGTTCAAAGATGTGATTCAATGAATGACACCACCTTCCCCATCATTCCTGTGCTTCCCTGACTTATGTGTTGAGGAGAAAGAAGGGCCCAGAGGGAGAGGATCTGGCTAGTTTTCTCATTCATAATTTTTCTTTTTCTAAATCATGTCAGAAACCTTCCCTGGGTGCTGGGACACAAGACCTTAGAGGGACCTCACGCTTGGTTTAAAATATTCTGCGGCTACCATGGAGATGTTCTTAATGATTTTGGAACAAAGGACCCCATAATTCATTTTGCCGCAGGCCTGTAAGTGATATAGCTGGCCCAGGCCTCCTCCTAGGCTGCCCTTAATAGCCAAGAAAGTCAGTGGATCAGCTAGGTTTGGGAGGAACTGATGCTTTTACTTTCCCAACCACCAATTTCTCTTATGGCCTAAAAAATAGGAGTTACCCAGGCCTTTGGGGTGATGGGGAGAATCAGGCTCATAATACATTAGTTCTAGGGCCTATGTCAAGAAGGCTAAATGCTGTTAACTGTGTAATAGACACCACTCACCTTGGGGCAAAGAGTGTTTCTAAATCAACAGGTACAAGCGGCCACACCTACCCAGCCTCTCTGTCAGATTTGCTGTGACCTGCTCAGTTTGAATAGAGCGCGGACACTTGGGCAGCTCAGGAGTCAGCTGGGCACATTCACTTAGAATGTTACCTGGCTTCTATTTTGTTAAAAAATGTTAACAAAGTATAAAGGTGTATTGGTAAGTTTAGTGTTTAGATCTACAATCAGATGCTTTGAATCAACTCAAAGCTTTGAGACTTAAGAAAGTAGGTGAATTTTCACCTAATGTACTTGGTATCCTTTGTCTTGCCTTAAATCCAAAGGTTGATTGGCAGATCAACAACATCTCAAGGGACCTGCAGGTGAATTGTGTGCTTACTAAACTCCATTGTGAAGTCGTGGACTCTGGTTGATTGGCGTGGCTGCTGTGTGATAGGGCACAGGGGCTGATCCATTTCAACTTAGTGCTTGAGCCCTGCTGGAGAGGTAGGGGGAAGCAGAGTTTCACTGTGTGGGGTCCCCAGATGGGCAGCATCCACTTCTGCCGGACAGACCCAGCAGTAGGGATGCAGGGGCGGTTTCAATTGAATTTAGTTAGCTTTATTCTGTCCAGTGCAGCCCAAAGCGACTCAGATGTACCATAAAGCACTGCTTGTAACTTGGAAAGAAATGCTGACCTTGGGCCAATTTAACTCAATTGAAATTTACTTTTATTGCAGATGATCTGAATTAGGAAAGTGGATAGAAGGACACTAAATAATTGAACAACTAAATTGGGATTCGTGAAGCCAGGGACATGAAGAGTGATCCCAATTAATTTCTGCAAGGGGTGAAATCTTCCTAGGGCTCACCTGGTGAAATCCTTCAGTCTCTTCTCTCTCGCCTCAAGGTAGCAAGCAGGCCATGAGCTTTTCACCCAGAACTCCTCACAGGTCTGTTCCAACAGGTTGACACTTGTCAGCAGTGGGCTTCAAGGGTGCTGGAGAATCTCCATGTTGCCATGGAGGCTGTAGCCCAGCTGGAGGCTTGGGTCACTCAATCAGCAATTATACATCAGCAATTGTACTCATGAGACTTCAAGGGAGGTGGAGAGGGACTCATTCCCTTGTAGATGAAGGGAAAGGGAGCCGGCGAAGGTTACCTGGAGCTGATCACACACCCGTGCAGCGCTCGAGGGACAGCCAGGAGTAGCAATGCGAGGCCGGCCACGCGTCCTGAGCATGCAGTGATGAGTGACCCGTGGGTAAGTGACATGCACTGAACCTAGGGCCTCACTCGCGCCTCCTACCTATATTTATTCACGGTGTGCTGTGTGCAGGAGACTGTTCTAGGTCACATGGAAAGCAACTTCTGTTCATGGAGCTTCATCATTGCTAGAGTTGTTCCTAAAGGGTTTGCGTCAATAAGTGTGTGGCTACATTTCACTGTCTCACTATATCTAATAATTTATCATGGAAGTAAATTATATAAATGATAAGATAATGTGATATAACAATGGAAAGGTAGAATCATGGAAAGAGGAGGTGGGGGCGGCATAAGAACACTGGTCATCACCTTTCACAAAAGAAGCGAGGGCTTTTGTGTTGTAAATGGAATAATCAAGAAATAGCAGCAAAATGCATGCTCTTCAAAAAACAGGCCGTTTAGTACCGAAAGACATAGTTAAACAATTTGGAGAGAAAGGTTCAAGAGACCAGGGACAGCTCTTGTTCGGTATGAGCTCACCCACTCATAAATGCTATAAATGTTGTAAGGGTGTGCGGGGCCCGAGGCCCTGGGGTATACTAGTAAAAAAGACAGCAAGCTTTCGTCCTTGTAGAATTTAGGTTTCGGAAGAGATCTTGAGGTGGAGAGCATGTCAGAGATCGATGTGTGCTATGGGGAACAATGAAGGGGCTTGTGTAGGGTAGGGCTGAGGGCGAGCTTGCTTACGGAGTCATCAGGGAGCATGATGTTTGAACAAAAACCTGGATGTTTGCACAGAGGGCCCATCCAGGGCAAAGGTCCACAGGTATGAGCCGTTGGGGTGTGTCTGGGGTGTGGGCAGAGCTGGGGATGAGGGTTTGGAAGGGATCCAGGCGGGAGAGTGATGCTGTGCCCCGGGGGTTGTTTTGCAAGGACTCTGGCTTTTCCTTGAGGTCGTGTGCGGGAAGCTACGGACTTCATTTGTGGCATGATCGCCTGTATCTCTAACAAGAGAGGCAGAGACCCCTTTTTATAAATACAGGTTTTAAATGAACAGGACAGATAT